AAATAAAAAAAATTGCATTGAAGCAAAAACTCCCTCCTGAAATTCCAAAGTTTCAACGCCATTTTGCATCTAGGCTTAATGTGAATCGAAGTTTATTTAGGTCTCAGCAAAATATTAAATATGTGCCATTATCTAATGCCATTTCCTTAGTTTAACCTCATTGTAACATCTCGATATTCACCACACCAAGGTTAGCTACCCATATTGGAAAGCTTCAGAGCTTCTTCTTCTTAATTTTTGGGTACACTTATAGCTGTTTTGAAAGTGTAAATTTAATCTTGATAAATCGAGTGCTATTTGAGTCAGCAAGGACTTAAACAATTTTATTTATTTGGACCTCATGTCCTGCAATTCTAAAGCTCTAATAATGTTTTAAATACTTAGAAACAGTAGGAGAGTGAATCCAAATGAAGAAAAACAAATATTTTGTCACTTTTTCGTTGCTTTTGATACATTGCTACTATATATTTTACCATTTTAGCTGTGTAGCTTTATTATTATGCCCACGGATATTGGATAAAATAAAAAACGGGGGAGAAAAAAAAATCCTAGGAAATGAAAAAAGATACAATGGGGAATAAAACAAAAATTGGATCTGCTATGAAACTTACTTTAAACGTCTATTTTGTGCCTGGGCTTCTTGCCTTTTCAATGCATATTCAGCCCAAACACGTTGTGAATCAGTGAACTCACTCTCCCATGGTTGTCACAAAATCAAAAGCAAAATAAAGATTTGGGAATTTTGAAATATGATTCTCTAAATTGAAGAAGATGACTTACCTTTTGGTGGAATCGTCCCTTCAATTTCCTTGTGGCGGTGTCCTGTGTCCGTTCAATTTCCTAAAGGCTGAAGGGCTTAAGTTTCTGTTGAACTTCTGGGGTGGAACGTGGATGGATGGACACAAAATTGCTAGTATTACTATAAGTTTTGAGGTCCTAGGCAAGCCACATTTTTGGAGGCCCTAGGCGGTTGCCTATGTGGCTTGGCCCCAAGGCCGGCCTGTTAGGTGAAATGAATATTTATATATAATTTTGTAATATAATTATTAATATTTAAAATTTAATTATAATTGGATTTTTGAAAAAAAAAAAAACTTGTAAATCATAATTTTGAAATGGAAGGTTTAAAACTCTGGTAGCTATAATTTTCACAATTGTTATTCTGAATGTTGCATCATAAGAAAGAGCTTACTAGCTCGGGCCCAATCAAGAGCTTACCAAAGAATGTTTAGTGACTAACCTAAAAGTTGGCCACTAAGTCTAATACTCTAATTTGCCAGCGAATAATTAAAGGAGACCCTAAGAGACAAGTAAGGCTAACTAGAGGATAAAAGTCAACTCGAGAACAATGGTCTCTTCTTGCAAATGAAAGAAATGGTTCATGAGTTTGATCAACTAATGCAGGGGCACATCGACATGCTCAAGCACATGAGATTCATTATACATGTCTTGATCATAAAATTTAAAATGGATTGATACAGATGTTGACAAGTGAGACAAGAAGTTCATTGTTACGAAAGTTGAACGTGTGAAATAATTTTCATCGATACTTAATTGTACTTTAGATGAGAATCAAAATGAGCAAATGTCTCTAATAATACGATGTGTGGATGATTGAACAAACTACTGACATAGAAGAATATTGGGTTGAATTTTTTAAAATAGATGATAAATCATGAATTTGACTATTAATGGAGCTTAAAAATAATCAATTTTGAGCTTGATATTGCTAATATCATATGATGAGGGTATGACAACCGATCTAACATGAGCTTGGAAGGCACGAAGATGTGAAAAGAAGATTACTTGAAATAAATTCTAGAGCTTTATGTACTACATGTGACTATCATAGTTTATATGACACGACAAATTGTTGTCTTACATCTATGTCTTTCCTTAGAGTGATACAATGCATCTACATATTGTTCTCTTCTTCTCCTAAGTGATGGGAATTTTCAAAGATAAGGTAGAAGGCCCAACACTGATATTGTTATCACAAACATGTTGAGAAAGTCATGTCAAAAGTGTCAAAACATTTAAAAGAGTAAACTTCACAAATAAAAGACTCTTATTTGACTTGGCACATGTTAGTAAAGATTATAAAACTAAGAATGGAGTTATTTATTTAACATCATATGAATTTGAGAATTTTAAGTTCTTGCTTTGGATGGCAATCTAGTATAAATTATTGTATGCAATCATGAGTGAATTTCTTCAAGTTGAAATGATTACGCTATCTATCTCGTAGAAGGACTGCTTCGATCATTTAATATTATAGAGATACTGGATTTGCTAATAATGCCATGTATGAAGCGAAACAAATGGCAATTGAAGTTGTATTTCGAGAAATAACACACCATTCAAAGGAAGAAACAATTCGATAAAAGTGGTAGTGAAGAGTTGAACCAATCAACTGAAAAATATTTTAGAGTTGATTATTATTATTATTTTTTTAATTTTTATAATCAATCAAGCATGAATTGAACAATTTAAACAATATAAAGAGAACTTTGTGTTTTGGTTTAATTTGTAGTGGTTACAACATTCGATTATTTCCAATTTTCTAAAGTCTTGTGAGAATCTTGAGTGATATCTGAAACATAATGATCGTTCGAACATTGATGAAAATAATTTATGTTTGAAGTTTACAATTTTGATGTGCTATTTACCAAGTGAAACAAAGAGAGAAGTCAATGTCCTACAATTTTTGAAGAAAATGGATGGTTGATCCCAAATGTTTACATTGCTCATAAAGTTTTGCTAACTTTATCGATTACAGTTTTATATGCAGATAGAAGTTTCTTCAAGTTGAAGTTGAAAAAGACTTATCTTCGATTAACTATATTACATGAAAGAGACTGTTATTAACTGTGAATTAAACCAAATTATCCAAATTTGATAAATATTTTTGTCTCTAGAATCACAAGACAAGTAGTATTTTAAGTGATTGCTTTGAACATTTTCATGCTATGTTATTTAATTATAATGTAAATATTTTGTATATATATCTTGTTTGTCGTTTTATTATTGAGTTTTAAGTTAACAAATGATTCCATAAAACTCTTATAAGTAAATAAAAAATTTGAATGCACATACATTTTGAAGGTCCAATAGGAACCCAATTTATAGAGTTCGCCTCAGGCTTCATAATCATAAGCCCTAGTCTAAACTCTAGAATAGGCTCTTCATGAATAAACTATGAATTCATGCGATTCACACTAAGTACAGCTAATATTGTAATGACAAGACAATATTTATACTATAATATATATTTAAGCTTTAAGAGGTCAATGTAAACATCTATAACCAAAATAAAAATGTCTTAATACGAAATTTAACATTCAATTCTCGTAATTAACTCTCGGGACAACTTGAAATGATTATAAAGATGGAAACATGAAATCCAGAATATTAATTCTTTTCTTTTGTATATTAATTGTGCTAATTCACAACTAGATTAAAAAATTGGTATTTAAAATTATATTTTCCGTTGTCGTTAAATCTGATGAAATTTCTATAAATTTATTCTGGTGGGAATTACATCCCACCATTCTTTTAAAAATCAATATTCTAAAATCAAGGTGAAGGCTTCTTTATTCAAAAATCAGATATTTTATATTTAAATATTAAATATTATAATACAAATTTCATCACAAACCTTAATTAATTTTCCATATCCATTCCCTCTCTTTATCCCTCATTTCCCATCTCGTTTCTCTCTCTCTCTCTCACTCTCTACTCCTCACTTATCTCTCCTCTCACAACGATGCCATCGTTGCTGTCCTTGTAAAGACGCCACCACCAATGCTGTGACTATTGCAAAGGCGCTCACAATTGTGCTCAAGAAGCCACCATTGAGAGGCGTCGCTCTAAAGCAGTAGAACCATTGTAACCTCGTCACTGGGAAGCAACCAACACCGCTTCGGGTTGTTGAGTTCATGGCGATGGTAGCGACAGTTTGGGAATTTTTGGTGGGGATGGTATTGTGAAGATGGAGATACAAAGGAGGTGCTATTTTGTGATTGGTGGATTGTGATAGTGATATGGTGGTGATGATGGCTATGGTTGCGGATTGGATGCGACGGTGACAGTGGCGAAGGTGACAATGGGTTTGGGGATATGGAGATTACAGTGCTGTGGGTTGATTTGTTTAAGGTGATGATGTTATTGTCGGGAGGTGGTGCTGGTGGTTTTGGTGACAACGGTGGTGATGGTGATGCTACTAGAAGCAGTGGTGAGATTGTGGTTGTAAGTGTTGGTAGTGGTCACAAATTATTTGGTTGACTCTGAGCGTTAAATCGATTAATCTATGACTAATAAATAATATGTGGCCAATAAAAAAGATAAATTGTGACTAAGAAATAAATGTGTGACTTAAAAATTGTTAAATTGTAATTGATAATTTGTGACTGTATAATAAGTTGTAACTCATAATATTTGTGATTTGTGATCGATAAATAAATTGTAATTTATAAATTTTTAATTTGTGATTGATGAATTTTTTTTCAAATTGTGATCGTAAAATAATTTGTGATATATAAAACTTCTGATTTATGACCGAAAAATAATATGTGATTAACTAAATCATTAATTTGTGATCAAATTGTATAGATCCGTGACTTTAATATATTTAATTAATTAAATCATAAATAAATTTTAATAAATATCTAATTTTTGAAATTTGAACTTTTATTCTTAGTTTTGAAATTGGTGATATTTAACTTCTTACTTATGAATTTTTTTCATTATTATGTTTAGTACGTGTTGCCCATATAAGTTTGACCCAAACCATTTAACCGTTGGGCCGGTCCAGACGTATGGCCCAGCCCATATTTACTCCATTAACCATTTCAATCAAAAAACGACGACGTCGAAACCCCTCTTAAACTACAAAAGTTCTGAAAAATTTTATCCAGTCAAAATCTACATGAACACGTGTCAAATCTGCATCCAGTTCCCCAGAAAATATCCCAATTTAGAATTTCCTCAAATTTTCTCTCGCAGAAAAGAATAAATAGCAGTGCAAAAATCTTCTTCCCCTGCATTGAGCTCAACCTTCAATAAATCTTCACCTCTAAATCATTCTCATTCACGCACGAAGTTCCTGAATTATTGTGTGGAAACTAAGTACTTATTTTACTGAAAAGTGCTTTTTCTCCCCAAAAATTATTAGTTTCTTGCTCTCACGCTATGAGCGCAAGAGCTTTGCTCATCTCCTTTTACTCAGCTCCAAAACATGACCAGTTTTCGTCAAGAAGAACACTTGGCTCAGCTTTTACCATCAAATCTGAACTTGAGTCACGATTATTTCCAAGTGAGAAAACCAATTTTCACCTAGCCAGGATTTCGAGTAGTTCCAGGAATGATTTGGCTAGAAGGAAGAGTGGGAAAGTGTGGGCAGATGTTAAGTCGGAGCGGTGCGATGCCGTTAAATCTACGCCGGAGTCTGTGAAGTTCGATGATAAGTTAAGTGACGTCGTTTTGAGGAATGAGGATTATAAAGACGTCAGTGCACTACCATGGTGGGAGCAGTTCCCAAAACGTTGGGTTATTGTGATTCTGTGCTTCTCTGCTTTCCTACTTTGCAACATGGATAGAGTAAGCTTAAATACTTCCTCATTGATATGGATGTTAAATTGTTAGTTGAGATCTTTAGTTTTATAACATTCACGTGTTTACCTCTTATGAAGTGGTTATAAACACGGGTACGCAAGTTTATATCCTTGTCCAACCAGCGCAACAAACTAACATTAAGAAAATTTGTCTGCTATATAAGAAAGAACAATCGAATTTGAGATGGAATTTGTATGATCAGATTGAAATGAAATTGAAACTCAGTGATGAGTTTGAGAATTTCTCATATTATATGAAGTCCAATGATTATTGCTTTATTTGGATTTTCTATTTATGATCATTAGGTTAAAGGAAAATAAAATTTTCTTGTCCTTTATGAAGAGTGTTTATTGGCAGAAACAGATGAAACACATAATTGAGAACCTTTTGGTTAATTTGGTCAAGTTGGCAGATACATTTAATCGAATGAAGTACATTTAGATGGATATTTCTTGCGGGCATTCGTCTTCACTATTAAAAGATTATATCTCAATGTGGTTAGGTCGCCTTCAAACCATTCAAAGTAAGATTCACTTGGATCATAGCACGTCTTAGTTTGTTAGTTGTCCGTCGTCTTTATTAAAATGTCAGTGAAAAATGTTAGCACATATGAGAGCCTGAGTTGATAGGTGACTGACACAAGCTTTCGTGAAGTTGGGAACTGGCTTTATATTGTGTATTGTCATTTGGTGTCTCCACTTTATTCCTGTTACAGTTGGAATTTCATAATGGTAGACCGCCAGTTCCAATTTCTTGCATAGTAAATTCATCTTCCCTTTATAGTTAAAATTTTTAAAAAACTATATAAAAAAACGAATGTTTTTTGTTTTAATTTTATTAAAATGCCAAATGCCAATTGTCAGTTCTTAATGCAGATATCATTCTGCAGGTAAACATGAGCATTGCTATACTTCCGATGTCATCAGAGTACCATTGGAGTCCAACCACTGTTGGTTTCATACAATCTTCCTTTTTCTGGGGTTACCTTCTCACTCAGGTATGTAAAAACTTGCCTGTTTAATGATCAATTATGGCACATTCATTTATGCCTTGTATACTTCATGTGACATTAAGATATAAGAAAGAATTCATGGATGTTCAATTTGGGACATTATGTTATTTTTTATTTCTTTAATTTCATTTTAATAAAACTAAATGAGTTGCAAATATTTATGTTATTCTGGGGATTATGCAGTACGTTTCTTATTCTAATTTTATTTATTGCATGATGCTCAGATTGCAGGAGGCATATGGGCAGATACCGTTGGTGGGAAGTTTGTTTTAGCATTTGGTGTAGTTTGGTGGTCAATAGCTACAGCTTTAACACCAATTGCTGCAAAACTTGGTTTGCCTTTCTTATTTGTGGTCCGTGCTTTCATGGGGATTGGTGAGGTCAGTGCCTCATTTAATAAATTTGACCCACATTTCTACTTCATTTGCTTTTCTACTTGTTATACAATCGTCGTGATGTTGTATTGGACCTGTAGTTTTCAGTAATGGATGAGTTTTTAATGTCCAATAGTGATTTGTCGTTCTCATCCAAGTCAACCATTTATTGTTGTGTGATTTATTTGTTTTCTGTGGGAGTAAGCTATATCTCTTTGTTACAGGGTGTTGCCATGCCGGCCATGAATAATATACTGTCAAAATGGGTTCCAGTGGCAGAGAGAAGTAGGTCATTAGCATTGGTTTACAGTGGAATGTATCTTGGATCTGTAACTGGTCTAGCATTTTCACCAATGTTGATCCATAATTTGGGTTGGCCATCTGTCTTTTATTCATTTGGTTCATTAGGGACCGTATGGGTTGCTTTGTGGATTACTAAGGTGAATTTTCTGAACTAATATTAACTTCTATTTTGAATGATGTGCGGGGTTTTATCATATTATTCTCATTTCCCCTCTAAATGAGTGACAATTGAGAAGTACCTAATGTAGGCACACAGTTCACCTCTTGATGACCCTGAATTACTGCCTGAAGAAAAGAAGCTGATTCTTGGCAACAGCGTATCGAAGGAACCAGTTAAATCTATACCTTGGAAATTAATTTTGTCAAAACCACCTGTATGGGCCTTGATAGTGTCCCATTTCTGTCACAACTGGGGAACATTTATTCTTCTTACATGGATGCCTACGTACTATCACCAGGTATTTTTTTATTTCTTTTACAGTGAGGACTACTTTAGCAAGGAATTGGCATATATAGTGCAGATTGGATGTCAGCATTTTCTAGTACTTTTAGTACTTTAGTCAACTTATCTTTCTAGTAATTTTGGAGTGGCTTAAAGAGAATTATGGATTATCTTTTATTTGTTGCCGAGAATTTAGACATAGATAACAATACAAATATAATGACTTATTTTGTAAAGGATATATTCAAATTTTTATAATTGATTGGATGAAAATTTTGGGTTACTGATTTACTATAGTGACTTATTTTGTAAAGGACATATTCAAATTTTTATAATTGATTGGATGAAAAGTTTGGGTTACTGATTTTGCTGCAGGTTTTGAAATTCAATCTTACTGAATCAGGACTTTTTGCTGTCTTTCCATGGCTTACAATGGCCTTTTCTGCAAATCTTGGGGGCTGGATTGCAGATACTCTTGTGAGCAAAGGTGTATCTGTGACCACTGTTAGGAAGGTATCTAACATTGTTATTATTGTACTCTTTGACATTTTTACGTGCTCCTGAAAGCTTTATATTTTTCTTGGGTTAATGTGAACTTCCCTGAGGCACGTACAAGCCTTATTTTCTTTATTAGAGAAAAATAGAAGCCATTGTTGATGATCAAAATGTTTCGCTTATTCAGACTTCATGGGTTACTTTTCCGGAGAGCTCTCCCAAGTTTTTGATTTTTATTTATTTATTTATTTTTACTGTTGTGTTCTGCAATGTACTCTTTTTCCAACTGGTAGATCTGCCCATAATGCAGCTGGTCTCTTAAACTGTTTATTCGAAGCTGCTTTCAAGTTTCCTGTTCCAAATCAAGTTACTCTCGAGTCTTGCATTCTATTTGGTGAATGCAGTTAGGTTAATTGTCTTTTATCGTGCTTGGCAGATCATGCAGACAATTGGATTTCTTGGCCCTGCTTTCTTCTTAACTCAGTTGAGTCATGTGAATTCTCCTGCAATGGCAGTTTTGTGCATGGCATGCAGTCAGGTTTGTTCTTACTACTATGAGCTTTGGGGTTGAAATTCTCTATAGAACACAGTATGCATATCAAAGTAATTTATGGAACTGCTTGATCTAAAAGGTTAGCTATTAGAATGCGACATGTATATCATTTAAATTTTGTCTTCAAACCCCACCACATACAGAATGCAGTTAGGGTTCAATTTCTTCCCCATAAAGGCCTGAGCGCAGTTTGGTTTTGGGTCGGTTATGACTATAATTGAAATCAAAACCAAATTAGTCAGTTTGGACGAATTTCAACCCAAACTAATCCACTCTAGCTCTTAAACCGAACGAAACTAAACCAAATCAGTTCGGTTCGGTTAGTCGGTTTGGATTTTTGTCCAAATTGAGATTTTTTTTTTTTTTATTTAAATTGTCTGAGTTTTGGTTCTACTTAGATTACAAGATCTAAAATAACTAAATAATTTTATATTACAAAAATTATTGATTAACAAATAAAATTAGATTAATAGAGACGGATCACCAGAAAACTTAAAAGTTTTGTTATTTTTTATGTATTATGTAGTTTGACTACCCGAGTAGGAAAAAAAGGCTAAGTATAACATAATGAGCTGTGAACGGAAATTCTCAGTGTTATTACTTACCGGCAACATCATAGATTTGAGGGAATCGAGATATATTTATGAATTAGGGTTTATTTTTTGATTTTGATTTTTCTTTAATTAAAAAAAAGGTAAACATTTAAGTGGGTTGGGTTGATTCGATTAACCAACGGTTTGAGATTTCAAACATGATTGAATCGACCCACCATGGCTTCTGTTTAAAAGAAAATCAAATCAAACTAATTACCCGTGTCAAGCCGACTAGAACCGACCCGAGTCGGTTTGGTCTGTTTTTTGATTTTTTTTGCCCAGGCCTTAATGGATGACGGCGAGACTTGAACCTAGGACCTCCTTGTGCTTTGATACCAGGTGGCTCATTTGATCCAAAATGTTAGAGAGAGGCACATGTATCATTCAAATTTTGTCTTATATGCTACAAATTGAAGAAACTCTTTTTATTTTAAACCTTTTTATTTCAGAATGATTGCATATCATCAAGCATGTAGTAAATGCAATTGATAAAGAAGCTGATGAAGTGAGCTTTGTTGGTGTTCATAATAAATTCTACTCTTATTGCCCCATTCATGTTCTCTGTAAATGGAGGGTTCTTGTGCCTTTTTTCCGATTCTTCTGATTTTTATGGATTCATTCTCATGGCAGGGAACTGATGCTTTTTCACAGTCAGGTTTATATTCAAACCATCAGGATATTGCTCCACGATATTCAGTAAGTACTTCACTTTTTTCGCCTAGTATAGTCAATGCCTCCTTGCTGAACATGTAGTGCTATTATGCCCCTGTTTGAGTTTCATTTTTTTCAAAACTCATTTTCAACCATACGTTCTCCATTTCAACTACACATTCTCCAAAAAATCACTATTCTGAAACACAATTTTTTCCCCAAAAAATGGGTCTCAAACAGGGTGTAAAATAATGTTATCAATCAACCAACCAATTAGCAGAGTCACAAATGATCCTAAATCAATTCTGCCGGATAACAGTAAAAAAGTCCAGTTGTCAGTTTTTCCTTTTGTATCATGATTTATGGTAGTTGTTTTTCTGGTGTATCACTAAATTTCTTCTCATTATAAGCATCTAATCGATTGCATAATTTCATACAAAATCATTTACAGGGTGTATTGCTTGGTCTGTCTAATACTGCTGGAGTGTTGGCTGGTGTTTTTGGTACTGCTGCTACTGGTTATATATTGCAGCATGGTACACTCTCATCCCTCATATTTTAAGCTGAGATAAACCCATTAATTGTGATATGAAATTTCTGAGCTTGATTTTAAGTTCAAACTGCCTGTTCAGAAATACTGTGAGTAGTTCCTCGAGTCTTTGTGAGGTTGCAAAAATAGCCCATCTACGTTTTGTAAATGGAAAAATCTGAGTTAGATAGTTTTGACTTTGCTGGCTCCTCATCTTTGAGTTATATCAAAACAGGACCAGACCTGCCAGTTTGACTCATAAAGGGGGGATCGGATGTAAAACCTTACTGCTTATAGGAAAAAACCCATATAGATGAAAACCAGTACAAAGTCTAGTAAACTGAATGACTCAGGCATGGGTTGAACAGTTGGTTTTTGGAAAACATTAAAATTAAAGGTTAAGTTTTATAAATCAGCATATACATATACATATTATGAAAAAAAATATATGTGTACACCATTGTGGAACACTCCCAAATCCACAATAACACTACATAAATATTAAACTCAGACCAGATGCATATAACCTATAAATATACAAGTATGTGTGAAGAGACAACCTCCATCTTCCGAACTCAGAGGAGGCAGTGAAAATGGTGGTTAGTCTTGGATCTGAAATAAAGCGACTGCTTGGTTGTGATGTACTGATATTATTGTTTTCATTTGACATGGCATGAATTACCGAACCTGCAATCAGGAATAGTAATTCTTTGAATGAAAATCAAGATTTATATATTTAGGGTTTAGTCGGTCGCTAGGTTTCTAACTTTCTACTGGATATGTAATGAGAATTGAAATAACAGTTAAATGTTAAAATATTGACTCTTTCAACACCCTCTTACTGTATATAAATTTGCAATGGTATGTATATCCACTAATTTTTGACACCCAGTTCACAGATTGACCTCAGTTCAGTCGGGTTTAAAAACATTCAAGTTTTATAGCTCATTATTTTTGCCTGGACTGATACAGAATTTTGTAGGTTCAAGCTTGGTAAATATTGGCAGTAGGTTCATGCCCTAACAGTTTAATGCTTTTTTTATCTATTAATGAATTCTTTGGGTGGAATTCGTACCACATTTGTCATATCCATATTCATGGTGGCTTGAACACTCGAACTTGTTGAAGGCTAGAGTACTGACAAAAGTCGGATTCAAGTCTTTATTAGTAAACATTAATTTAGCTACTAAAAGTCCACACCAGCTAATGGTTCATAGAACCAGCAAATTCATTCACCCTAATGGTGTTGAAGATGCTGGTGCAGGTATATTATTTCTCAACGGAATTAACTAAAAAACCTTTTGACTTTTCAGCCTCCTCTCGGTCTGTAAAAAAAATGAAAAGCAGGCAAAATAAAGAAAACTGAATAACACGCGTTTATTCTGATGAACTATAGCTGGACTGGTTAACATGAAATTAAGCTAAAGTAAAGACGGAGTTTCAGAATTACCAACATATTGATTGCTTGCGCTAACGTGCTAGTCCTGATGTCAAAGAATCATATATTTTGGTTAACAATCTTGAATTATCTCGTTTCCAGGTTCTTGGGATGATGTCTTCAAGGTTTCGGTCGGCCTCTACTTAGCCGGTACTGTGATATGGAACCTCTTTTCGACTGGTGAGAAGATAGTGGATTGAACTGCAAAAAGAAACACTATACTGGAACTCGAGACTCCAAACTTTGAAGAATGGAATGGAGAAACAATTGTTACTGAAATTCCAGTTCTAAATTGGAGTGCTTGTTTACACATTTATTTCTCATAGAAACCAGTGAATCTGCTCATAATCCTGAAACATCTGAATGAAGGGAGCCTGTGCAGATGAAGAAAATCAGAGTCGCATATTTTTTTGCACACGATGTATGTACACTAACATACCAATTTTTGTAAATTACTGTGGAAATATAGATCTTATTTTTAATTTTTGATTCTTGCAGTTCATTTACATGTGTTATTGATATCAAATACAGCCTATTGCATTTGATGTGCCAAATAAAAATTCAAATTTCAGATCATGTGAAATTCCTTTCTTCCCACCTAGTGATTACCCAGAATGGTTTCCATGTATCAGAAGTTCAGAAGGGCTGTGCCCTTAGACATGAGCCTGAACCGATGATCGAATTACTTGTTGGAGCTTTATGAGCTTTGATAGCATGTTAAGATTTGACATTCAATTTTAAAAGGCCAACCTTATTAAGAACAGTAGTTTAAATCTTTATAATTTGTTCTATGTTTTCATTTTTATTTGATGTGAAATTTTATTCTTTAACACAATCTTGCCGGGCCGTTGTTGTCGGCTCTAGACGTGAGCTATCACTTGTCAACTGGCAAGTTGAACCAATGTTTCAAGCAGCACAGTATGGGCTGGGGTTGAGTCCACGGCTATAGCTATCTTTACACCTCTAGATCTACACTTGAGATGTTAGACCGTTCAGTCGAACCAATGTTTAGGCAGCACAGCGTGGGCTGCGTTTGGGCCTGGTACGACCCATGTCAGGTACTGTACCTATTTTGTTGTTTATCTTGAAAATAATAATTGAGTGGGACCAAATATGAGCTCATTTGTCCACAACCCGAGTGACACCTCTAATTATAATTGACATCACAATTGTTTTCAGGGTACATGGATTAAATCGCCTCAGTACACTTCATGAAAGTAATCAAATGTTTATATGTATAGATAAACAACCAAAGAAAACATACAATTTGTGAAAAGTATGACAAAAGTGAATACAAATGAAATCTCCAAATATTACCCACTGAAAAAACACATGAACACTTCCATTCTTCAAGACATGCTGTATTCCCATATTGCACTTATACCATTTTAGTATAAGACAGAAATACCCTTTCTATGCTGACATGGCAATTCTTGGTGGTGCAGTAAGCTGACGTGGCTCCAAGTAAACTTTAAGCCCATTTTTCATGAAAAGAGTCAAAGACATCTTCTGTTCAACAAGGTGACCGGGAACCAGTGATAGCCGGTAAGGAAGAAGTACGGCCGAAACCACAGACTTCATCTGGAGGTAAGCCAAGTCCTTGCCTAAACAAGTTCTCGGTCCAGCGTTGAATGCCACAAACTTGTAACCATCCTTGGGTGGTTCGAACCGGTCACCATTGACCGAAAGCCATCTCTCCGGTTTGAATTCCATGCAATCCTCACCCCATACACTCTTCATCCTTCCAACTGAATAAATAGAATATGTGACTGTTGAACCGGCCGGCAAGAATGATCCGTCCGGCAAAACATCGTCGGAGACGACATATTTGAAATCTTCTGGGACTGAGGGGTACAGACGTAGGGTTTCAGTCAATGCTGCCTTTAGATAAACCAGTCTGTCAGCTTCATCGAATGTCAATGGTTCTTCAATCCATTTTTGTGTGTCTTCCCCACGGGTTTCTAGTAAAACTGTTGATAATTCATTGACGATCTTGTTCTCAATGCGCTTGTTGTTCATGACGAGCCAGAAGAACCAGCTTAATGCCACAGACGATGTGTCACGGCCAGCGAGAACAAAGTTGAGAGCAATGCGCTTGAGGACTGAATTTGGAAACAGATTTCCATCGATATCTCTCTTCTTGATGAATCGGGATAAGAGATCATCAGATGGAGTTTCTTTTCGTGCTTCGAGGGCTTCTGACATGTAATTTTCGATAACTTGTAGGCTCTTTTCCAGCCTTTTTTCAGCTCCAATGCTTACAAGTTTCTTCAACCTCCATAACAATCCAGGATAAAGTAATCTTTGAAGAGTTGCTTCGGTGGCTGAATCGAAAGCAATGGCAAATGGATTCTCGGGTAATTCAGGCGAAAGAGTTTCAGGATCTTTACCAAAAGTGAGCCCACATATGTTATCGAAGGTTAAACGAAGCAACAAATCTTGCATATCCACAGAGGTGTGATCTTTGCAAGCCTTGTCTAATATGATCCACAGACGGGTTCGGATAGTTCGGTTCACCCACCGGGCCATGGCTTGTCGAAGCGTCCGAGTTGTGAACTCTAGAGCAGCAGTCTTTCTCTGTATTAGCCAAGTTTCACCGTCACTATTGAATATGCCTTGTCCTAGAAGATCATGAAAGGCGGTTTGCCAATCCGGTCCTTTCGGATAATTCTCGAACCGGGTTCGAAGAATATGCTCGATATTTTTCGGGTGGCACGTGACAGTATAAAACCCTTGTCTCCTAGCCAAAAAAGGTACAGCAATGGTGCATGTCTGATAAGTGGCTGCACCACCAGTTGCGCGGAGGTTTCCGGCTATCCAGTCATGGATTCGCCTCCTATTCATGAACAAATATGGGAGACTACCCACCAATGGCCAGGCCTTTGGACCAGTGAGTTTCTGTGCAAGAAGACAAAACCATATCAAATAAGCAGAAGTTGCAGCTAATAAGCTGAAAAAGACAAGTAGTGTATCCATGCATGCAGCAGTAAATGCAAATTAAGATAATCAAAAGCAAAAATAAGTAGAAAATTTGCTGTTTTGGTAGTGATCGATTGGAGCTGGTGAGGAAAATTGCGTTATATATAGAGAGCAATATCAAGAAAAAGATATTAGGAGAGGGTTGTTGAGAAAATCGCACAGTGGAGAAAGAGGGGGTAGCTGTTTGGTTTGATATATAGAAAAATGAATTGGGATTTCATATATCATACGAAAACCATGCATGACCAGTATATACAGAATAAGCAATAGCATTGCTGGGATAATATTGAACGTTGAATCCCAACCTCAAGGGTTCCCCACTGTCTCGTTCTTGGAGTATCGTGAGAGAGGTTAATTGCGGATGTGTCTCAACATGCTAGGAAACAAGAGCTATCTATACATTGGTTCTCATAAAAAGTCTCAATCCACGTTTCAAGAATCGAACCCTCACACGTGGTCTATATATTATTTAGTCCGAATATCTTGATTTATTAATTACTATAATTAGATATTGAATTAATAAATTTCTCACCAGCATTGGATGGTAACAGGACAGGACGCTCTGCTGGTGGATTAAAGAATTCTGCTGGTGGATTAAAAAATTAATAAAAATGGTCGTGTTTGTCCCATCATTGTCCAACCTCGATTCCTTGATAGGACTAGGACGAGACTATTAAAAGATAAACTCCACGTCAAATAAAAATGAAAATATAGATCAATATATAAGGGTTTGAATTACTCATCTTAGTAAGATTGATTATTTACGATGAAACTTCAAGTGTTAATATGACATCAAAGTCTATCAAGTTTTAACGAGCAATTTGATAGATTAAAACTCAAAAATGAGCACACAAGATTTCAAAATCGATATGCTCAAATGAGTAACCATCTTGCAAGGACATATTAAAAAATAAATTCCACTCGAATAAAGATTAAAATGTAAACTAACTCATAAACGTTTGAGCCACTCAGAAATTGATTTTTTAAGATAAAACCCGAATCTTAATAGAGGCATTTTACCATCACTATATCATACTAATTTACGTTTGTAAATTAACTAAAACCAGGTTGGAACTATTCTTATTGCTTTATAGTTTTGAATAATTTTGCGACAGAAGTATAGTGTCGCTATCTTTCGCAAATTTTATTTTTCAATAATTTTTGTACCTTTCTTATTTTCGACATATTTTATGATGGAATTCAGAAACAGAATAAAATGAACAAACAATCAGTTAAAATCTGTCACCCCATTACGAAAATTCACTTAATATATAGCACTATATGTGTGGTGAGGGTTAAAATCAAAATTTTAGTATATTTTGATAAAAGTTGATAAAATAAATATG